AAAAAAAAAAAACACACTAATAATAAGAATGACAGGAGAGCTTTTCTTTATAATAGAACATCAACTAGTAAATGTAGAAGCAATAACATAGTTAGAAAATCACGATTTTGCACTCATCATAGTAATATTTTGTTTAGATAAGAATCATCCAGGAATGTTAAAACCATTGGGTGAAAGTTTGTTGGGAATGAGTATATTTACACAGCCTGAAAATGTCTCCTTACAGATTATTTATTAACTACAAGAGGGAAAAAGTACTTTTACAGTGGACAACACTGTAGCTAAGTGACCACCACCAATGGGACAAACTGATCTTATGATTCTTGATAAGAGAGGCTAAGAAGAATACAACATCACTTATGTAATATTCTTGCCAAAAATGTATAATCTGAACTTAATTATGAGAAAACCACCAGTTGATCTCAAATTGAAGGATAAGCCACAAGGCAACTGGTCTGAATTTTTCAAAAGTATCAGCGTCAGAAGAGACAAAGGCAGCTGAGCACGGTGGCTCACACCTGTAATTCCAGAACTTTGGGAGGCCAAGGTGGGTGAATCACAAGGTCAAGAGTTCGAGACCAGCCTTGTCAATATGGTAAAACCTCTTATCTGCTAAAAAAAAAAAAAAAAAAATTAGCCGGGCATGGTGTCAGGCACCTGTAGTCCCAGCTACACAGGAGGCTGAGGCAGGAGAACCGCTTGAACCCAGGAGACAGAGATTGCAGTGAGCCAAGATCGCGCCACTGCCCTCCAACCGGGGTGACAGAGGGAGACTCCATCTCAAAAAAACAAATTGCTATTAAGGATATTGCTAGGACAACTGATGAAATTTAGATATAGATTGCATATTCCATAATAGTATTGTATCATCATTAAATTTTGTGAACAATCATTGCTCCTTGTAAAACAATGTCCCTGTTCTTAAAAGACAAATACTAAAGTATTTAGGAGTGAATGTGCTTCTGTTGTATTTTGGAGTCAACTATTTTTAAAGGAGAATTATATATAGACATCAAGGTCTAGGTGCTAGGTGTGTTCATTGTAACTAGGGTCGCATTACTTCTAGGCCCTTTCATAGGCCCTAAATACTTTGGTATTTACCTTTTAAGAGCAACAACAATAATATAGCAACAACAATAACATAGTTATAGGTGGAAAGAGAGAAAGCCAGTGTGGTAAAGTATTAACAATTGGCAAATCTCGGTGAAGGATATATGACAGCTCATTGTCCTAATTTAGCCACTTCTATAAATGTGAAACTTTTACAAAATAAAAACAAGACAAATTTGAAAATCTTTAGGTGAATCTCTCTTCTCAACTAAATGGCATAAACAATTATTCTCCCTTTAAGCCCAGGGATTTTCCACGAATTTTTTTACTATTACATTTTTCTGTTGATACCTTCTAGATACCTGGCTTGGGCAGCAGGTGGAGAAGCAATTTGGGTGAAGGTGATGGGTACAATTTGATGCAGTGTCTTTGAGATTCAATATGTCCTGGGAGATCCAATTTGATGGGAGCTCAGGAAAGAGGTCTAAGCCAAAGACGTGGAGTTGGGTATCGGGGGATATTACTCCCTTGAGAGTTCTCCTGGAGGGAGCTTGGAGAAAAAAAGTGGCAACTGTAAATGGTGGGAGAACCAAGGGGAGCCATGGCTCAGGAGCTGTGGAAGGATAAATTTCGTATGGAGACCATGGTCAATAGCCTGAAGTGTCCCAAGGAGTAAAGCAGACAACTGTAAAGTCCCCTGGATTTGACAAGTAAATGGTCCTTGGTAACCTGAACGGCTTCCAGGGGGAGGTAAATGGAATTGAGGAGTGGGATTGGTGGTGAAACCACACTAGGGTGCATTAAAGAGTAATTGTGTGGGCAAGTGTGGTGGCTCACACCTATAATCCTAGCACTTTGGGAGGCTGAGGCAGGCAGATCACTTGAGGTCAAGAGTTTGAAACCACCCTGGCCAACATGGCGAAACCCCGTCTCTACTAAAAATACAAAATTAGCTGGGCGTGGTGGTGGGCACCTGTAGTCCCAGCTTCCAAGGAGGCTGAGGTGGGAGAATCTTTTGAACCCAGGAGGTGGAGGTTTCAGTGAGCTGAGATTGTGCTGCTGCACTCCAGCCTGGGAGATAGAACAAGACTGCAGCGCAAAAAAAAAAAAAAAAAAAAAAAAAAAAAGAGTAATTGTGTAGGCTGGGAGCAGTGACTGATGCCTGTTATCCCAGCACTTTGGGAGACTGAGGCAGGCAGATAGCTTTGAGCTCAGGAGTTCGAGACTAGCATGGGCAACATGGCAAAACCCCGTCTCTACTAAAAATACAAAATTTAGCCAGGTGTGATGGTGCATGTCTGTAGTACCAGCTACTCGAAAGGCTGAGGTGGGAAAATTTCTTGAGCCCGGGAGGTAGAGGTTGTAGTGAGCTGTGATCATGCCACTGCATTCCAGCCTGGGTAACAGAGCTAAACACTGTCTCAAAAAAAAAAAAAGAGTAATTGTGGGGGGTGAAATGTGATACGAATATGCCTTCTTGTAAGCCTATTTGGAAGGGCAGGAGAGAAATACAGATAAAGGCAGAGTTTTGGTTTTGGTCTTTAAAGCTGGAAGGGATTTGCCCATGGAGAGGGGGAGGTTTGAGAATTGGAAAAAGTGGACAGTTAACATTAGTAAGAGCCCAGAAGAACCAGAGGGCAGGAGATCAGGGGTAGAGTGGTGGGACTAACCCCAAGAAGGGAAAGAAGGTATCTTCCCACCCAGTGGCCTGTGGACCCAGGGCCTTGTCTTCTGTCTTGACCGCTCTCAAGAGAAACCAAACGGTTAGCTTATTTCCTGACATTTCTGACGAGCCAACTGCAGGGTCCTGGTAGGCAGGGTATTGACTTAGGTAGAGCTCCGAATTTGAAGTCAAAAGACAGCTTTGATTTCTTGTTTTCTGCTTGACTTCCTATGTTATCCTTTCTGTGCTGCAATTTTCTCATCTTAAAAATGAAAAAATGCTCTCCATGTTACAGGTTTTTCTGAGAATAAAGTAGGACAATATATGAAAACACTTTAAAAGGGTACTTGCAATTAGGTAGCTTTTTGGAGGTTGGTTTTTTTAGTTGTTGTTTGTTTTTCTCTTTGCTCTTAGAATCTGGCAGTGTTCCAGTGACCAGGAGACCTGGCAGTCTCCAAGAATGTTCTCTGCAATTGCTGGCTTCTGATGAGGCAGCTCACACAGGATTCGCTGTCGTAGATTTAAAAATAACAAAAACAGAAACAAGTGCATCCACGGAGAGTTGGACTGTCACCAGAGGTTTGGTATTATGATTAATTGTAGAATGCAAGCCAATGGAAGTCAGCTCGCAATCACTGAAACATGACCATTTGGTTCAACAGCTCACAATGAGTTTATTATTGTGAATTGTTTATAATAATAGAATTTTCCACTAGGTGACAGCAAAGCCTATAATATTATCTAAATCATTGTTCCTCTTGAATAGTGTTTGAGAATCTTCCAAAAGCAGTGGATCCTGCCATTCTGAAGAGAGTAATTAATGCTTAAACTGTAACATATGGCCTTGAGATATTGTTGTGACTCTCCTGAGATAACTAAACTCCAGGTTTTAAAAACCAATTTTAGTTTTTGACATTCTAAGTCACTTTTTACAAAAATTTATAGAAACAACTGCAAGAATAATTTAAAAAGCTAACATTTGTTAAGCATTTGCTGTGTGTCAGGTACTCATAAATGTGCATGGCTGTTGATACTACCCAACTTCTCAGAGGTTTCATAGGGACCACAAGTCCCTCTTTTAATAAAGAACTAAGTCTTCCCTGGGCCACTTCTGTAAGCATAACACTAACTACATAAATACATGCTCTTGGCTGAACTGCCCTGCCCAGAAGAAGAGGAGTTTGGTTATGCATATTAATGGTTTAGTCAAGAGCCCTTTACAGGGTTTTATGAATAATTGTTAGTTATAATTGGTGTTTTTCAGAGCATTTATCTTTTTTTTAAATAACTTTTCGCCTCTTAGACCTATGTTAACCCTTCATTGGGTTCCCTGTTAGTGGTTCATTTATCTTGGGACTGTGTTGAGTTTCTGGGGTAACCTATTGGAGTCTTTTTTTTAGGGGCTAAGGCTGAGACTCCAGGCAGAGTGAGTTTGACTTATCACAGTAACAAAGTCTTTAACCATCAGAAGGAAGTGGGAATTACAGGGGCGTGGCTGGTATTTGATTCTGAACCCCTGGCCCCTGAATGCTTGCCTTGGTTCTAAGCAGAGAAAGGGCTGAGAAGTAAAATGGCAGGGGTGTTTAACCCACAGGCAGGCCTGCTTAGTTTGTTTTCTTCAGTCAGAATATAACATAAAAACCAGGGAGCTACATAGCTGGCTCCTATACAACTACCCATACTGCTTTTCTTTTCTTTTTAATTATTACTATCCCTGAAAGAATGCTATAAATGCACAATATGAAACTTCCAAAGGCGTAACAGAGCATACAGTTAAAAAGTAAGTTTTCTTTTCCACACCTGTTCCCCATAAGAAACCTCTGTTTCTCACAGTTTCGGGTTTCCAGTAAAGTTCAGCCTCAGCAGCCTGGGGATTCTGTGCTTGGCAGGACAACGGTACAGATGCTGGCTACTGATGAGGGGAGCAGTTAGGAGTAGCTCAGGTTGTGGAGTGAGTCAAGCACATGTGACACCTCCTGATGAGGCTCAGGGAATAGGGGCTCATGGCATGTGGAAAAATGAGCCAGGAAGCTTTGGGAATTCATAACAAGATGGCCTTATGTGTACCCACAGGCTGGTGTGGCCTGGGGGAAGTTGTATACTATCATTATAGAAATAACTTATGTTCTCAGATGAAAGTTAAAAAATACAGATAAGTATACCTCATTATTTAACTATATATCTATGATACAGTTTTTCCCTGCAATATGGAGCCCAAGTCCCAGTCTCCAAGTCTCATAGCAACCCAAGAATCAGCAAACAATGCTTCCAGAAGATAGAAATGGACACTCCTAAGGTCACCAGCAATCCTATCCTGCAATGTTAACTGGAGCCATGAGAGAAAGCAACCATTGCAGAGCAGCAGCCAGCATAGGCAAGCCATGCCCCAGCTCCTGACACTGGCCTCAGGTGCATTCACAAGGGTAAGCACATGTGCTGGTTGACCCAGGACAGCCTCAGTTTATACCTGGCATAATTGTTCAGAGGATCCTGTTCCAGTCTCAAGAACTGTCCCAAATTTGTCGATAAAGGATATGATCTCTCTAAATTCCTCTGTGTATCATCTCACCCCATGCCACCCCTTCAGGGTGTTGGACCAATTATGGACCTCTGAGTTAGGGTGGGTCCGGCATCTACCATCTTTCAGACCCAAAGCTGCAAGCAACCATTTTCTTTCCCTAGGGCCTCTTCTGGATCTAGCCGTATCCTGTTTCTGGGGCTCTTGAGCACAAAAGGGCCATTCTACCTCCAATTCAGACAGTGGAACTCCCCAGCCACCCTTCTAGGATTGGATGCCCTAAATGCTATGCCTCTTTTCCAGTGAGCCCAGTGCTCAGTAGCTCAGATGTAATTTACCACGAGATATGTAATAAATATCTCAGGATGTTTATTTTGGCCCCTCTCTAATCCCTAGCATGTCATTTGCATGAGAAAAAAAAGAAAACAGAATTCTCTATACTACCAAACCAGAAATTTCCAGAGGCTAATAATTTGGAAGCATATTATTCTGGATATTTATGTAAAATCTTATTTGTTCTAGCTGCTTTTCCTCTGATTTTTATAGTTTTTCTGGATAGACCATCATGATTTGCAAGTAATAATTATACTGAAACCTAATATCTATTTAACCTTTTGGAAATTTTTATTTTAGAGCCTAAAACTTCTAGGATGTTACTGAATAACGATGATACCAGGCATGTCTTCTTAATAGATGCTTCTAGTATTCTACCCTTAAAATGATGTGATTTAAGATTGGACATTGTGTGAAGGGAGTATCCTCCTAAGTTTACCAAAATTATTACCTTGGTTGTAATTATAGAATAAATTGTCAGTAGCTTGATGTTTGTTTTTGTCCAGATAAATGGCAATGGAACTAGACCTTTGCTTTACTCAGACTGTTGCAGCTCTTTCTCTTTTTACCTGCAATGAAATATTAAATCCATAAATAATTAAATGCATGGGTTTGAGAAGCAAACATACCAGAGTTTAAGTCTAGTTGTGGGACCTTGCTAACTATTCTGAATTTTACTTTCTTTATCTGAAAATTAGAATTAAAAACCCTGACTTTGTACAGAGTTGCTGCATTAACTTATTGCCTAGAATGTAACAAGCATTCAATAAATGTATTATTATAGCTGTTATAATATATAATATACTTTTCACTTTCTGATCATATTGGAGATATAGATATTAAATATAATATATATTACAGATAACATATGTAATAATAAGACAGTGAAAAAATCTCCTTAGAAAAGACTTTTAAGTTAACAAAAGTGGTAATTCTAGTATTATCTTAAGTTCATTGTGGTCTTTTCTTTAGAGGTGGTAGGATGCCCAGCTGTTCCAGTTTGTTGTGGATAGAGGAGTGTCACAGAATGAAGGACTTTCAGTGCTAAAACCAGAGAAGTCCTGGGTAAATTGGGACAAGTTGGTCACCTAGATCATGGTGAGTGACATTTGACTCCTTTCCTGTTTTCATTTGATCAGGCAGACTCCTCCAGAAGACAAAAAATAGTATTCAGAGAAAATTACTAAAGGCCTGCTGATGAACAGACATCTCCGTCATTGTTTTATTATTAATAATAATGCTGTAATAATAAACCATATTTAAAAGGAAACTAAATATATCTCTTTCTAAGGAAATTTCTAGAAAATCAAGACAAACACTACTGGGATGATTTTCACAGAAGATTTACTCTTTGGGTGGTAAGAGAGCACTAAGAAAGTAGCTATTCTGATGGGCAGGAGGTAGAAAAGAAAAGCTAGGTTACTTGACATAGTTCAGATACTACAAATCTGGTGCTCCTGATCCACAGAAGGGAGTGTGGACATAGACCTACTCTGGGCATGAGAGTAACAGGAAGAGGTACAAGAGTGAGATGAATAATTCTCTGCTAGAAAGTTTGAGGCAAGCCTTGGGGGGCTACTGGCTTTGTGGGCTGTTGCCAGGGCAGTTGCTACCCACCTGTGCTCTGGCCTGAACCTGGCTGAGTCAGAATGCTCTGACTGCTAGGAGTAATTACAGCCCAGGAGGACACGGAAGGGTTAAGTAATTATAGCCGAGAAGGTTACACCCCAGGTTATGGCACTGCTGTGCACAGAACATGAGGCAAGATACAGGCAGGTGTGGGCAAAAGGTACACATGCTTCAAAGTATTATTAAAAATGTGTGGGTCTCCATGAAGCTCTACTATACTCAAGTTTACCAGGATATTTGGGTAGAAATGGGGATGATGACTCTCATCGTTTATATAATCCAGAGTGCTGATAAAAGAAGTAAAGTTTTGAAAGCTCCAGTGCCCGCTCATGGTCATCCCTAACCAGCTTTACCTGCAGTCCCTGTGAAATGAAACGTCAGTCAGCCTGTAAATTTAAGCAGGCTGTGTTAGACGGGGAACATCACTGTATACTTGCATAAGTATAGCTTAGTTCATAACATGAATGAATGGATCTGTGAGATGCACTGAACAACAGCAAAGATCAGGAGTACAGTGGGAAACAGAGGTCGTTGCTGAGTAAACTCAAAAGATTTAGTACACAGGCCAGAGACATGGCTGAGGCACGGGGAGCTTATTCTTACTAGATGCTGGACAGTTACTGTGGCTTCAATGAGATAACGCACAGAGATGCAGAGTTCTTATATAGCGCATAGTTAACGCTTACTGTCACTTATTTTTAGTTTTTGCACCTCTGAAAGCTAATAATTGAATTTCCCCTGGTATAGAAGCTGGTGAACAGCAGTCAAAAAATGAATTTCTTTACTGGGAATAAAAGTTGTGCAAGTTGTGTTTGTTCCACCAACATTTTTCTTTGATCCAAATGGGCAGTATAGAAAGATCAGCTTTTTTCTAGAGTGGCTAGAGAACAAACAATGATGTCAGGGGCACATATGCCAGGAAGAGACCACTAATGACCTCTTACAGGCCTCCCAAGGTAGCATCATGACCTGAATGCAGCCATGCAGGCCAGGAGCTGTAATTTTATCTAGCCATAGAAAGAAACGCTTATCTCAGATGTTAGTTCTGCACATTAATCAAACTTAAAAGAGTCAATACAAACCAGTGTATCTTTTATTTGTATTTTTAAATTTTATTATTTTTATTTTTCAATAATGTAATACAATCAATCAATCAATAACACTGGCCCATGTATGGGCCAGTGTTGACAGTATGTTACTAAACACAGATAAGGGATAGGCGATCAGCAGTGTCTGCTCCAACCACGGCAGCAGTTTATCAATTTTTAATAATAAATTACTATCATAATTCTGGAGTCCTTATGATCAGTGCCAAGTGCCATGGAAAGTCCAGTCAAAATCAGAAACCATTTAATTTATTTCTTCAGAAGAAATTACTGCATAGAGACCAGAATGTAAAGGTCTATTTGACGAACACAGTCTTCCTTAAGAGTTTAGCTTAACCATAATCAGGAAGAAGGTTATCCTGAATGCAGAGCACAAGCTAAGAAAGTTGACTGTTTAACCACCTCAGGGTAAGAAAGTTTCTGGCCTACAGACCTGGAAATACTGGCCAAGTCACTGCCTCTCTTGGATGGTGCTGAAATAGAAATTACTAACATTTGCTTCAGTGACTCTTCCTGCTTTTTCTATGCCCAACTTACAAAATCACTTTTTAATGTATGTATTCTTTGCTTAGTCAAGTTAATGTGTTTACTTCTGTTATAGACAAGTTTTGCAAGCCCACAGGCCAGTTTTTCCTCTCTAAAGAGTTTTCGTGTATCTCTGCTTTGATTTCACTGTTTCTCCCTGTGCAAGCATCTCAAGCTCTTCTGACCACTTCAGTGACACCCCTATATACAGAGAGAAACTATCCAATCTCCCTGATTTTTGACCTTCTTCTTATCTTGTATAGAACATACAGGTAATTCTACAAAGTTCCTCAGGATCTCTTCTGCTCAGTGTGTTGTTGACTGAAATATTTGGTCTCTGTGCCATTAATTACCTCCTTTATTTCTTGTAAGTTAATTTTTTACTCCACTGGATTCAGCCTCAGTCTACAAGTGTAGTTAAGTCTCCACTGCCTCTAAAACCCTGCCCTCAAGTCTGCCACTCTCAGGCCACCAGCCCATTCTTCTTTCCTTTCATAGACGCGGGACTGGAAACAGCATTGTCATGCGTCATTGCCCTCTTCCATATGTCAGTACCTTGCAAACTGGCTCCTACAAGTTTTATACACTCCAGCGGAGCTTGCTTCTTGGAGTAGTGCTAACCTTCAGTGACCTCCTCTCCCTGGGGTCTAGTGCTAGCCCCTGAATGGGGTGAATGCCTGGCTTTGCTGACATTGCTCCCTGGCCATAGTTAGAAGAGAGACACACACTCAAACTTGGTCACTTCTCTCTCCTGGGATTTTGAGCATGGACTGGAGAGGTGGAGAATTTTCTGGAGCAGAGTTGTATTAATGGCTGCATCACCCTGGGAGAGGGGTCATAGATTTCTAGGAAGCCCCCAGACCTGCCCTGGTTCCTACCCTTCCCAAACCTTGGTTGTTCATCTCCTCTGCTGACTCTCTGTGAGTTCTTCCAGAATCCTTCTTTAGGCACTGGCCTTAAATTCCTTTTTTTCTTTCTGTCTAAGCTAGTGAGAGTCAGCTTCTATCCTTTACAGCCTAAAGACTTAACCAGTTAATTCTCTTACACTTTTTAACAATTCAGAAGCATTGGACACTCAAGAATACCCTTTCTTGCTGATACTGTTTTTCTGTGTCTTTGCAGACTTAGCATTCTTGTGGCTCCTTGTCCTGCAGCGTTTGGTCAGACTCCTCTGTCACTCCTCTTCTTTCTCTTACCCTTGAATAAAAGGCTTTCTGAATTTTTAATTTTTTGTTTGTTTGTTTGGTGACAGAGTCTTGCTGTATCACCCAGGCTGGAGTGCAGTTGCATGATCTTGGCTCATTGTAGGCTCCACCTCCTGCGTTCAAGTGGTTCTCCTGCCCCAGCCTCCTGAGTAGCTGAGATTACAGGTGTGTGCCATCATGCCCAGCTAAGTTTTATATTTTTGGTAGAGATGAGGTTTCACCATTTTGGCCAGGCTGGCCTTAAACTCTTGATCTCAGGTGATCCGCCCGCCTTGGCCTCCGAAGTGCTGGGATTACAGGCATGAGTCATCACCTGGTCCTTCCTAAAGTATTATTTATGAGAATATTTTTTACATTATCATTTATTCAAATTAACAAAACAAAATTTGAATGAGCCAGACACTCTACCTCAATTCAGAATATTTTGAAGACATAGTCTATAGAACATGACTATATGTATGGTCATATTCTACTGGCACAATTAAGCATCAAGATATCCAAATTCTAGATGTACCTTTCTGATTATCTAAATGTATATTTCTGATTCATCTCTACCTAGGCTCACCTATTACCATCTCAAATTTAGTATGCTTAAAACTAGACTCATTATTTTTGCCCTCAAATATGACCCTTTTTCTTTCTTTCCAATCTCAATCAAGAACAGTAGCATCCTCCCAGCATGGGCTTAAATATCAGAGTCATCTCTTCTTCCCTCTTTCCATCTGGTCAATGCACAGACCCTGCTGATTCTGGCCCTGACACTCATTTGCCTCAGCAGAACACGCCCACAGGCACCCCCCATCAATCTCCTTACATTTCACTTCCTGTTGCAGGTATTTACTAACTCAGGCCCTTCTATCTGTCTGTGCTCTACCCAGTCATCCTCCACATGGCTGCTTAAGTCTTCTTAAAACTCAGATTTAATCATGACAGTTCCCAGAAGAGAAGCCTTTCAGTGGTTTTGCAAGGGATGTTCATCAGAATTGCCAAGGAGTTCTGAAAAAGTGAAGATTCTTGGGCTGCAAATAAGACTTCCTAAATTAGTTTCCAGAAATAAGGCATGGGTATTTTGAGAACCTCAGCCCCCCACCCCTACCCAAGAATTTTGATACAGACCTGTGGTGAAGTGTCATTGCTTTAATGAAACCTCAGTGCCTACTGAAAAAATCTCAAATTTCTCACTGTGATATTTAAGGCACCAACTTCTGCTTCAAGCCTTGTCTCCTTTAATTCCTTACATATTCCAAAGTCTGACAAATAGTGATGACAGTAGTTGCTATTTTCTGAATGCCTCCTAACATCGTGTGTTTCATTAGTCTTCTCTTGCCACTTGGAATACCCGTTCTTCTCCATTTCTATTTCTCTCAATTACACCCTTCTTCAAGGTCAAGCTTAATAAATAAGACTAATCTAGAGTAAAATACATTTAAAGTATTTAGAATAGTTACTGAATCATAAGCCCTCTATAATAGCAGGTAATGTTGTTATAATGATGATTATGATAAATAATACCTTATACTTCCATGAAGCCCTTACCACACCCTAAGTCAGAACTAATCTTTCCTTCCTTTGTGTTCCCATTGTAGTTTGCTTCTATTCCTTTTAGGGTACCTGCTAGATTCTGTTTTGCTTTATGCACCTGTCTTATTTGTCCTGGTGAAGTGCAACCTTGTTGGTGAACTCTATCTTGGTCAGGTACTGTATCATATTCAAAACACAACAGTTGCACAATACATTTTTACTCTTTAAAACTGAGTTCTAAATGGTCTATGTGAACTGTCACCCCAGCCAGAAACAGAAGTTCAGGGGGATTTCCTGCCTGTTTGTCCAGCATGTTTTGTCTCTGAGCTGATCAGGGGAGAAACCTGACTTGGAGCCCTTTAAATTAAACATGTATTTAAGTGGCAAAAGAATTTTCAATTAGAGCCCGGGCAAAAAAGACGTTAACATTTGTTGAGTGCACACTCTGCCAGGACACTGTGATGTGTTTGCTTTTGGAACAGCTGTCTAGCAGGAGGCTGCTTCTGACCTATCCTATATTCTTTGCTCCCATTGTTTGCTTAAGGTAACATTTATGTCTGATATTTGCTTAACGTGCCTCTCAAGTTGTTTCTGAGCATTATAAAGAAGAAACGGTTGACTGTGTGGCAACGCCAGGCACTCAACACTGATTAACTGACATTTAGTGGTGCTTTTTGAAAGGTATGATGCACTGTTAAGAGCCAAAGTATCTGGATAATTTGCTGTTACCATCAGCCAAGTGGCTGTTTAAATGGTTTTGGAAAGAGGATGAGCTTCCAATAATTTTAGGCCTTCCCCAAATCCATACTCCTAGGAGAAGTGGGGATTTTTGGCTTATAGCTTTGTGCCCCTGTGAACAGTAGCAGAAATGTAGATCTGTTTTGTGGGATATGGGACTAAAGTGGTTTTCTGAGCTCATAGTTCCAAGTTGGATGGTAGTTAGGACTATAACATGGGTGGCTATATAACTTATTGTTCAAATGGTAGACACTCAGCACAACAGAATCCACTGGGACTATCCCAAGCAAACTGGGGCCTCCGCTATCAGCGTACAAATCACCTCCATGCTGGACATGGAGTCAGTGATGGCTGCTTCTTTCAACTTCAGATAAAGTGCTAAAAGAGAGGGCTTGAATCCTGAAAGCAATTGTAAAAATCCCCTGCGTGTGCAGGATTCATCCTGAAGTGACTGAACAAAGCTAAGGGGTAAATTTGATAAATCTCTGCACTGCAGCCTAATGTAAGAGTGGGCTTCTCAGTTGAAAGAGCGAATCACGTGCTGGGGTCTTCTGAGGGAAGTTAGGCCTCTCCTCTAAATACCACTGTGTAATGAGGGAAGGGATGAACTCTGCCTGACCACTGAAACTGATGCCTGAACTTAAGAATCTCACTGATTGCATCCAGCATTTTCTGGACTGTCCAGCAAAGCCCTCTCCAAGTCCTACCTTACCTTCAAGGCTCACTGAACAATGAATGTCTCTGTTAGTATTCTCATTGTCCTCCAATCTCGTATCTTTCTCCTTCCTTAGAACTGCTATACCTTCTCTACAACTGAAGTTGTGACTTACATTTATACAGCCCTGCTGAAAATCATTACCAACATAGCTCAAAGAGATCTTTACTTATTCTGAATCCCTCTAGCCTTGTTTAGTCCACTTTGCCATTGGGATACATAGCCTTGCATTGTTACTTGTTCTTTTTACCTGGACTGTTTTGTCTTCTCAAATTGATTGAGAACATAAGTCATATGTTATTGTTCTTTCATTCACATTACTCAATTATCAATGAATATTTATTGATTGGTTTTGAAAATCATATTTTGTATATTGAAC